CAAACATGAAATGCATAATTAGACAGTAGTAGTAAGTGGTACTTGTAAAAGATGTTTGTCTAATTGAGCTTTGTTGTCTTGTTAGCTCTCAACAATTATATAATGCAATTTAAAAGAGGTTTGGGATGAAGAAGATTGATATATGTACGTATTAAGAAAAATAGATTAGAATAAAGAATTCTATTTATTGGATGAGGATATTAACATATATTAAATTAATTTAAAACTCAGCTCCTGTCGTACATAGTACATAAAAGACTTGTTGCTTCATTTAACTCAATCAAACGATTGGGGAGCAACCAGTGAGAATAGAACGGTTAATCGGCGATCGGTCCCTCTACGAGTCTTTTCTCAGAGTCTGAGTGAGAGACTCTTCTTTCGAGAAGCGGTATACAGTTATCTGCGAGCTATGCGGCCTTTTACCTTGGAGTTCTTTCCATATTATAATTATGTATTTACGGTTATTTCTACTCCCTTGTCGTACCCAGATTAAAAGACTCCTCTAGTCCAGTTTCCTTTATAAACAAATCTAACATACACAATATATACACAAGTGTTTTCACTTTAAATCTTTTTAATGGATTCTTAAATTTTTACGCATCATAAACCTGATGTGTGTGTGTTTTTTTTTTTTTTATAAATATTTAATATTTTTGGCATTTTTTATTTAAAACTTTAAGACTGCAATAAAGTGCACTGTTTTTTTGTTTTCTTCTTTCCTGCAGTTCGCGCAGTTCTTTATGCACTGCTCTGTCATTTTCATGCAGCAAAATCTCATTATTTTTTTTTTTCTTTTCTGTGGCTCCACAGCTTGCCCTGGCTTGCCGTCTTTGGGGCCAGTAGCAGTAGCAGTAGCTGTGCTCACCTAACCTAAACCTAGTGCCGAATGCTTTCAATAGAAGCAGTCCACACTCTTCTGGCTGCTCCATACTCTGGGTGTTAGAAAGTGATTCGTAGTTTGTCGCTTATCAACTCCATTTTGTTTTTTTTTTTTTTTTTTTTTTTTTTTTTTTTAGCCACATGGAGAGGTTTATGTGTATGTTTGTCTCTAGCTTCTATATAATCTGGCAACTCGCGAAGTCTTGCAGCATATTCATTTCTTTTGCCGTTTGCTTTATTTATTTTCCATGGGATTTATGTTTTTGGGTTATGGCGCTTGTCTTTGATGTTGCTATATATATTTTTATCACAGTGCCTTTTGCTCGCTCTTCCACAAATTTTTCATTATTTTTCATTTGCTTCAGTTTGATAACGTTGCGCGCAGCTAGCTAGTTTTTAAAGCCTTTTCAAATTCTATTATGCGACAGCTTTGCTGCTGACTAATGAAAAAATGGAAGACTGGCCAGAAAAAAAAAAAAAAAAAAAAAAGAATATGAAAATAAACCATAAAAGATGCCGTCTGCTCAGTTATATGAAGACAAGCAGTGCGCCCAAGGCTCTATAGCTGGGGAGCAATACACAAATGGGGTTTCATCGTCTTCTTCTTCTTCTTCTGCACTTTTTTTTTTTTTTTTTTTTTTTTTAATATAATTAGTTGGTGCTGTTTTGGTTGCAGCTTTGCCTAATTAAGTTGTAGACTTGGCATAGTTTTGACAATAGATTAAGGCAAAAAACGAAGGCAGACAAACAGTAGAGAATTTGAAGTGGAAATTTATTCTATCAATTTTAATGCACATAGAAAAAGAACTTTACACAGTATATTATTAAATGAATAAATTAAAATTTAAAAAAAGGAGTAATTAATTATTATACAATGAATAAATATCAATTCATCACAATTATAGATTGATTTGGTCCTATATTAATCTGTCAGAGCTGCAAAACCTTGAATAGTGACTCCAGTCTTTTCCACCGATAGTTCCATACATTTAGATTTGAATATTAAAATTCGCATGATTATTGCTTTTTGTTGATTATAATATATAAATATGTATATATTTATATGCGATAGTTTTAACAGCTCTAACGTCTACAGCTCAACGTTACAAAAGCGCAATGCCTCAAAGACTTACCAAAATTATTTCTCCTCAAATAATTCCAAGTTAATTATTTTAATGAATATACACTCGATATGCATTAGTTTCGATGCTCAGATATTCAATTTGCTATAGTACATTTTGTGGCTAAATGGGAAGCTGAGCTATCGCAGGGAATCAATCGACGCTTGCAAGCAGCAAGACAGCTTATCTTAAAGCGCTTTTCAATGGCTTACAATGAATCTGTAAGATAATTTTGTGGTCAGATGATGCTATTCAAGTAGTTGCAAGTTGACCACAAAAGCAACGGCACATGGCTAAGCATCTTACAAGCAAGCAGTTTGGTCAAGTCTCATTCACACACACACGGTCAGACACACGCACACACGCACACACACACCTGCCACTGACAGCTGCCTCAATAGCTTGGCAGTTCACTAGCCCTTGCTGCTCGGCTGGTGTTGCAAGTATCTAAACTAGAATGTTTGTTTAGTATCTTTTACACTGTGCTGCACAGTTGTCTGAAAATAGCTGCTGCTTGCTCTCTTTCTCTTTATGCCTCCCTCTCTCTCTTCCGCTCCCTCTCCATATATATATATGTATATGGCTTGGGTGCTCTTTCATTCTTTCATTTGCTGCAGCTTGGATAACTGGTCTCGGACTGTTGTCTAGTCGTACGTTTGTGCATGCTTTGCATGCCACTCGACGAGCACAAACAGTGCCACAAACATAGTGAGCGTGAGTGAGAGGGTGGGGAAGAGCGTGAGAGAAAGAGAGAGAGAGAGAGAGAGAGAGGGAGCGAGTGACGCCCCCGCCGCCCAGACAGGACTTGCTGTTTGTTGTATGACATATAAAAGTCAACTTGAATGCGCTGTGTAAATTTAGCCACCCAGCATTCACTGCTGCCTCTAAGCATCTGTGTGTTTGTGTGTGTGTGTGTCCTTCCTACACTGTCGCAACTTTAAGTAGTTGGGTGTGTGTTGGTGCCAAGGAAATGCTTGCATTTGAAAGGAATTTGCCTTTACAAGATTTTACTCTTTGCAATTTACACGCGCCGCGCACTTTTACCACTACACACTCACACGCACTCATACTTATATATATATTTATAGCGATACACAAGTGCATATGTATGAGTATATAGTATATCATTCTGTGTACATGCATTTGCTGATATGCACAAGTATTGTATGCATTTGGCTTTTGTAAATGTTGCTTTCTTATTACATGGCATTATATCGTGTCGTATTTATATATATATATATATAAATATGTATATGTATGTACATAAAGTAGTTGCTTGCTGACGTTTGCTGTTTCTTGCAGGATGTTGTTTGCCTCAGTTGCAACGCAACAGCAGCCAGTCAGCCTGCCAGGAAGTTATCTTCAGGAAACTACTGAAAGAGTAACAAACTGATTATTTCTTTTGCTTGCTTCCCATGGCGAGGCTTTTTAGCTTAATTAGCCAAAGCGAAAAAGAGATCGTATGACGGCTATAAGAGATAATACAATATTAAGCAAGGGACGTGACTTAAAATGATATTTCCATATGGCATAATGATGTAGAAATGATTCGAATTAGATAGGATTTTATGTATGTACAATTTTTTTAGGGTAGAAAAAGATGTACTAAAATGCTCATCTTATTTATTATAATTTCAGTATATCATTAATATAAGCAAATTATATATATTATATATAAATACCAATTTAGCAAATAAAATTATAATTTACCATAAAGATATTATTATATGTATATGTAGTCTATTTAAAAAATATATATATATATTTTCAATATTATTCGAAGTAGATTTTATACGCTAAGTGAAAAACTCAAGCTAAACATCCAACTACTTTCTATCTCTTTTTTTTTAAGGCTGTGGCCTGTCGAGGCCTTCACTCAAATGCCTTTCCTTGCCTGATTTGCCAGATATATTGCTGCTGCTCGAAACCAAAGACAGCATCATTCAAAAATCTCTCAAAATGTTGACCATTAAACTCTAGCTCTGTGTGCCCCTAGGGACTCGCACATACACACACACACACGCACACCAACACAGGCGCCCTCTTCATGCCCAGAGCCTGCCAACTGCGGCTGCTGCTGCTGCCGTTGGCATTCAGTGTCAGGTTTCTATGGCTCAAGTGTTTGCATTTTACAACCACACACTTGCAGGCACTCACACACACACAGACAGCAGCTGGTGTGTGTGTGTGTGTGTGTGTGTGTGTGTGTGCTTTATACGCTTTGTGTTTGTGCGTTGGCATTTTGTAGAAGAGGTTCTAGCACCAGCTTAAGTGAAATGTAGCTGACCTAAGCTACAAAATAAACACAAATGCAATGCAAACACATGCACACACACACATACACACGCAAATGCACACACTTGCGATAAAAAGCAGCGCACGTAGGCAAGTTAAAGGACAATGAGAAACGCAAATGTCAGTGCACAGCGTAAGAGAAAGAATGAATGCAAACTACGACAATTTATGTGTATATATATGTATGTATGTGAGTGTGTGTGTTTTATTTGTTTGTAATGATTGTCAAGGTCGCCGTCACAGCACAACCATATTTAACTAATAACATTACTTATTTTGGCACCTATTTGTACTAATCCAATTTGCAATTTGCCTCCCAACTTCTCCCTCAGGCAGGTAAACAATAAACAGGGCAAATATAGCTAAGCAGAAGACAAAGAGACAGTGTGAGAAGAAAGAAAGAGAAGGGATAAGAGATCAATAATAGCAACAATAGAAGAACACTCTCACAGCAGTAAAAAATAAATATCAATCCTTATATTCAAATCAAGAAAATAACAACAATCAATCGAAAAACGGCACACAAAAGTGAAGAGCATAAAAAATATCACGTGGAATTTTCAAAATATTGGAGGGAGAAAGAGAATTTAGAAAAGGCAATTGGCAACCACAGCAAGAGTGTGCCGGGTATATATATATATATATAACTCAATCCATATATATATATATATATATATATATATAGATACATTGCCCCTATATATACATATATATACATATTCAAAGCTAGAGAGCTTCCAGCAAAGCAGAGCAGGCGCCGCAATTAGTTAACAAGAGGATCATGCTCAGCTCTCTGGACGCGCTGGCTGGCAAAATAGCCAAAGCGACGCCGGGCACCGGTGCCGTGACGGCCAATGCCACAGGCAATAAGCCAACAAATAATGCACACCATCCGGCGCATCAGCATCATCATGGTACACGGCACCAGCTGGACTATGACTATTCAGCTGTTGAGATCGAACCACCTGCCGAACAATTGGCCAATTCGCCGCGCAGCGAACGTGAAAGATTGCAGCAGGCGCAGCATGCTTACGAACAGCAGGCGCAAGCTGAGCTCGAATTCGGCTTGGCCGATGTGGATACGAAAAGCTGTTTAACACTGTTAACGCATCGACGTAGCAGCCAGAATATGCACCTGCTCAATCATAATGCACAGGCGGGCAAATCGAGTAACGGTCATGGGCCTGTCAGACATCAGCAACATCATTATCATCATCCCTATCAGCGACCGTTGCGGCCAGTCTCACCTGCGGTGCAGCAGCAACAGCAGCAGCAACAACAACAGCAGCAGCAGCAGCAGCAACAACAACAACAACAACAACAAGCACAGCAACATAGTCCGCAGACGCAGCAACAGCAGCAATCGCCATATCAGCAGCAATTATCACATTTGGCCGCGCTGCAGGATCATCATCATCAGGAACTGCTGCAATCACAGCAGGAACTGTTCCACAAACAGCTGATCAACTTGCAACAGCAACAGGAAAGAGAACGTCAGGCTGCCGTTAATTATAATGATAGCTGCAACAGCGACCACGACTCACAGCATGAATTCAAAATTTGCCTGAGGGATAGGTGAGTGTCTGATACACCCACAGACTAAAAAAACAAAAAAACAAAAACAAAACCAAACAAAATAACACAATTATATATGTATGTCTATCTCTAAAGTCCAATATCCCAGTTCAGTCTGGTGCACTTTAAGTTGTCTTATCCCGCGCCCTTTGCTAATTAGTAACCCTTTTTATAAACCACAATCAACCTGTCTCGCTCTCTCCCTTCTACGCTGTGCTTGTAATTTTCTATTTATTCCATACATTGCATGCTTGCAAGTGCATCACTCGCATTAAAAAAAAAAAAAAAAAAAAAAAAAAAAAGTTTTAAAAACAAACTTAATTCATTAACTAAAATCAACAAGCAAAGCCCTTGAAAATAGGGCAGGGGCAGGTGAGGGCGTTGCGGCTGCTTGTTGTTTCGCCATACAGTAAAAATGCATTAATACAAATGCATGTGAGTTGCATGTTATACACATGACTGAGCAGGTGTGTAAAGTGCACTCACCTTTCCCCAGGCACTGCTTATCCAAAGGGGACTCGGCTTGCAATCAAATAGCAATTCGAATAGCTCATTCATTAGCTAAAATATTTATTAGCTGCTAATTTCAATATAGATATTCTTGAAATTTGAGAAAATTTGCTGTGAGATAGAACAAGGCTTTATTTAATTTTGTATCTATAGTATATTAAATTACGAATGTCTCTTGCATATACAATCAAATTCGAATCGGATTTACCAGCTTGCAAAGTTATTTTAAGACTTTAAATATACTTGACAAAAACATTGCTCTCCGTTTGTTTTCCTAAGTACTTTAGTTGCAAATATTTCATGCGTTTTCAATTGTTCAGAGTTCACATGATTTAATTCAATTTAAATAACATTGTCTGACTGTGAGTTAAATGTTAACAATAAATAATTTTTGCAGTTTAATGCTGCATAGCTTTTTTATTTATTATATTTTATTTATGAGTTAAGCCTCCATTGGGTTTCTGCAGTAAATGAATGATGATTATTAATTGCACACACACACACACAAAGACATGTTTAAGCTCGAAGTTTCAGTTGATAAGATAGATTTCATACTGTTTGATATATATCTTATTTATAAATTACATTTAATACATAAAAAATATTTAATAAAACTAATTTATTATTGTTATTTTTTTTACAAATTTTAATCTTCAAATTTAAATTTATTTATATTTACATTTTTCAAAAATTTCTTATGTAAATATTTTTACGATATTCACTCGAACTATGAAATAGTTATATAAATTATGAAATCGCAAAAAAGAATTATGTAAAACAAAAAAACAAAAAAAAATGTTCAAATGAATTATTCATCTTTAACATGCATCAACAATTTTAATGAATCTTCGCTAACAAACACTTGTTGAATGTGTTCTATATTGAATATGTTCAATGCTCTCAATTCAATCATCATTCAATCAAGTATCTTAAAATCGTGTTGTAGTCTGTCATGTTTTGTGGTGCTCTGAATGTAAACACAAAAGAGAAATGCTAAAAAACAAGGTAAAACGCCCAAAAGCAAAAACAGGAAACGCCTCAAAGCATGCAACAGAATTTTGTGTGACTCGAAACAGTTGTAATTTGTTGGCTTTGCCTGGGCTCAAAGTAACAAACCAAAATGTGACACAGCAACAACAAAAACAACAAACAACAACTAAGTGAAATTCACGTGACAAATTGCTGCTGGGCAAATGTTGTAACAACGTCTCAAGCAATGAAATAAGAAAGTAAGCCAGACACAGTGGGAAGAGCGGGAAAGAGAAGAAGTGAGTTAGTAGGAGATGGCAAGCAAGCAAAGCCAGTGACACGCACACACGCATACACCAATACACACGCACACCCACACCCACACACACTCATGACATTTAACTTTATTATACCTACACATGTTTGTTTGTGCATTTTATTACTATGACTCTTAACTAATTTAATGTATAATAACATTTGACATATTGTTTTTCGTGTTTCACTTTGATTTGTATATTCGTGTGTGTGTGTATATCTGTGTACAACCCTTTAGCTTTATGCGTCTCATGGTGAGGTAGTTGTCCTTGTATAGCTGTTGCCTTCGCTAGGTTTTTTTCACACATGCAAATATTTTTGGTTGATTGGGCGTAGGGCACCTAACTCAATTACACTGTGAGAAATATGTGTATATATATAAGTTAATATATATAAAATATACTTGTTAGATATATAAAATTATAAAAAATAATTTTATTTATTTATTTTATACATTTTTTTTTCAAGGTTTACAAAATATATATTTATTTCATTACAAAATATATAAACAAATATTTTCAATATTTATTTTCCAATCTCTATTTGATTCATATCATTTTTCTCTCAGTGCACTTAACCTACGTCTCGTTTATTGCTTGCACTGAAAACGCAAAACTTTTCATTTATTTTTATGCACAAGATAAAAATGTTCAGAGCTGCGCGCAGCCAAACGCAAATACAAATGCCACATATGACATTTTTATTGTTTATTGCTTTAGGTTTTTGTTGCAATTTGCTGTTGACATTTGCGTGCTTGGGCTTTTGTGAGAAATGTCGAGCTAAGCGTTCATTGACTTTAAAGCGCGTGCCGTAATGCAATTAGCCTTAAAAATAGAGAAAAGTCAACCGTGTCTCGGGGCTATCGAAATCAGTGAGAAACGAGGGATTCGCATGTGACGAGGCCAACAGCCAATTAGTTAGCAATACCGAAAGGGACAGCAAATGCAGATAGACAGAGAAAGCGAGAATAAATTACGAGCTGATGACACAGATAGACCCACAGACGGAATATCCATAATAATTACGTAAAATTTCTATTTGCTAAGCGCCACATTATGATACAAATTGAGAGACGTACAGAGCCCTTGGGGGAGAATTTTTAGGGAAAGTGAAAGCCCGCCTGACAGTGACAAAAGCGTCACTAAAATAACAACAAATGCATAGAAAAAGCAAGAACAATAAACACACATGAACAAACACTTGAAGGTAAACAAAAAAGTGGATGGTTTTTCATTTATTAAAGTGGCTAGAAATGTGGCACAGGTGATGGGAGAGGGAGGGTGGACACGTGGGCGAGCAAACATTGTGAATTGAAATTGTTGGGGGTGCATTTATTTGCATATGTGAATGATGTGTGTTTGTGAGCGTATGTGTGTTCATGCGAGAGACTTAGCCATAGCTAAATTTATACACTAATACATGCTGAAATGAATTCCATGTTGATATCTGGATGGTAAATGTGTAGAGATGTCATTAAGCTGGGGCTTAATGTTAGTTGGATAGATCATAGATTAAAGCTAAGAACTGACATGAGTTTTTATATATGCTTATTACTGACAAATGAGCTATAAAAATCAAGCTCTATATGACTTTTTGCTAAAGGCGTGATTGATTATTGTTTGGAAAATACAAATATGATGGCTATAGGAAAAAATAAATAAGGAATGAAGAAAATGAAGAAAAGCAAAATATTATTTGAAAAAAAAAAAAAAATATATATATATATATATATATATATATATATATATATATATATATATATATATATATATATATATATATATATATATATATATATATATATATATATATATATATATATATATATATTAAATATATATAATATATATATTAAATTATTAAATATATAGAAAAAAAGGTAATAAATATTTATTTTTTAAGAATTTTACCTGTAAAAAATAGTTATAAATATACAAAATTATAAGTGCTGTCCTGCTCAGCTCAATCTTTGATTCATATTCAACGCACAGCCAATATGCTCTTTGTGAGTTAGAGCAATACTCAGATGCGTTTGCATATAAATATTGCTCTGCTCATCCAAAGAAATGCCAACCCTTAGCTTAGTTGAGTACTTGGCGCCTTTTGGCTTTGGCTTTGCATTCTCTATTATGCATGCCAACGCAGCAAGAACAACAGCCACACAGCGCACACTGAGTGCTGCTAACAAACACACACACACACACTCTCGCACACCTGTACATGCAACCTACATGTACATAGAGAAACTGTGGCAGCTGCTGCTTCTGCTGCTGCGTTGCATTTCAATTTCAATTGTTGCAGTTGCAACCTTCGCTTTAAGTTGCTTTTGTTATAGTTTTTTTGACCCTTGCCCAAGCTAATTTAGCAGCGAACACATTTTCATGGCTAAGTTAAGTTTTGCTTGCCTGAAATTATTCAACTGCATATTTTTATCCTAGCAAAACTGATGCATTTATAATATTATTTTAGGAAAATTTCTAGCATAGCTCAGTCCAGTTTTTGCATAGATTTTCGCTATATTTATATACATATATTAGCTAAACATATGTATGTGCTATGCATCTCTATTATATTCAGAAAATTTCATATGCATAAATGCATAAACATATAAAAACTTTTTTTTTTTTGCTATTTATATGTGTATGAGGGGCGTGTCTATTTTGCATACGCATTCATTGTTCAACGCTATTTGCAAAATTTGTTGTTTAAATAGAATAAAAATAGCAAATAAGCAACAAAAAATTAACGACAGTTGCATATAAATCACATGCATGAGCAAAGTTCGAATGAGGGACATGTTTTTTCATCTTTGACGTAAACGCAATATTTTTGAAACCAACATTTATTTAGCAAATATAGACAATAATATTTGTTCGTTATTTTTCGAAAATAAAAAAAGAAAATGAAATGCTTGTCAGTTGTTAAAAAGCAAGAGTACAAATGTGAAAATATTTGTGGGCATGTCCTGGAATAATATGTTAATGGCTGTTATCAATGTTTATATAAAGAGATTTTTAACATGTAAACATGTTCTGGATAGATCTAACAGCTCTTATTTAACATGTTCTGTTCAAATGTAAAAGATCTTATTCCAGCAAATAGTAGTTATGAACTTTTGTTATAAATTTCATATTTTCCATATTTGATTTGCTTGGCTAAATTTCATTGTGGTGTGTGTAGAAAATTGCATGCTAAGCAAAACAAAC